TACATATCAGAAAGAATAGTAACAGCAAAAATAAGAATGGAGAAGGAAGACCTGAACATCATCGCAGTATACGGTCTAGAAAATAACAAGCCTCAAACAACAAGGTAAGCGTTTTACGATCAATTACAACAAGTAGTAGATCAAGTCAGAGGTAAGATGATAATATTGGGGGATTTTAACGCTCAAATAGGCAACCAAGTAATACACGGCATTAAACAAAAACATAACGAGAATGTTAAAAACGAAAATGGAGAACTAATGATCAACTTCTGCACGAATAACCAACTAAGAATAAACAATACATTTTTTGACCACAAAAACCAACACAAATATACATTTAATAACACCCGTGGACAAAGATCTATGATAGATTATATTATAACCAACAGATATATACATCCATAAAAAATAATCGACGTAAGTTGCCTCAACTCAGCAGATGTAGGTAGCGACTATAGCCTAGTATTATGTAAAATAAGAATAATCCTGAAATACTTCCCACCCAAGAGAGCGGCGCCAACACAAACAAAAATCAAAGTCGCAGGACTAAATACGAAATCGACGGAATACTTATACAGGAAAAGAATATCAGAGAAGTTCGCTGGGAATGAAATATTAGAAAACAATAACATCGAGGAAAGCTGCGAAATTCAAAAGTAATATAATTAACGCAGCAACAGAGTCAGTTGGAGAGAATATATAAAAAAAGAAAACACCATGGTTTAGAGAGGAACAGAAGACAAAATGTACAAAAAAGCCTTTTTGCAATACAGAACACAAAAAATACAACAGGCATACAACCACTAAAAACGAATCAGAAATGAAACGAATACTTTAGTTGGACAAATAAAAATGAACACTGGCAGAGTTTCTCAAAACAGATGGAACACGATTTCTACGGAACACAAAAAGAAATATGGAGAATGATCAGAGGACAAAGAAAAGAGATGAACCACCTAATAAAAACGAAGCACATTCAGAAGGAAAGATGGGTAGACTACTTTCTATCTCTGTTTGCTAAAGGTGACAATGATGAACCACCAAGACCAGAGGTGACGACAAACGAACAGAGGACAGAATATCGAACGAACTCCTAAAGTACGGAGGACCAAATATTACCAAACAACAATTAAAACTAATTAAAAAAATAATAGAACAAAACAGAGTTCCTCAAGAATATACAGCGGAGTTAATTTATTAAACACAACACTATAATTAACAACCAAAGTGATAACAAATAAATTGAATGAAATTATAACACTAGCAGAAGAACAACAAGGTTTTAGGTCGGGAAGATCATGCACCGCTATATTTATAATGAGGAAAGTGGAAGAGAAATTATTGGAATACAACAAACCGGCATATCTATGTTTCGTGGACATTGCAAAGCCATTTGACCGGGTCAAATTAAAAGACGTTATCCACTTACTGCTATGCAAGAGAGATACCTCTAGGAATAATCAAAACGATCAAAAATATCTACCAAAACAACACAATAAAAGTAAAAGTAAAAGAAGAACTAACCGACCCTATTAAAGCTAGCAATGGGATAAGACAGGGAGATTCCCTGAGTCCTCTATTGTTCAACCTGATTATGGATGAAATAATAAAAAAAGTAAGAACTTAAAAATAATACCAAATGGGAGAAAAATAACTAGTAAGTTATATAAGTAATCTGCTATGCAGACGACGCAATACTACTCTCTCAAAGTGAAGATGATTTACAACGTATGCTCCACCAATTTAATATAACCGCCAGAAAATTTAACATGTTAATTTCCAGAACAACGACAAAATGCATGGTTACAACAGCAAATTTACTAAGATGTAAATTGGAGCCGGCAGGTCAGATAATAGAATAAGTGATGGAGTTTAAATATCTAAGCATCACATTATCTAGCTACGGAAAGGTCGAAAGCGAAGTGGAAGATCAAGTATATAGAGCAAACAGAGCTGCAGGCTGCCTAAATGAAACAATATGAAGAAATAAAAATATCGGGAAAGAAACGAAATCAGAATTTACAAAACAGTCATCAGACCAATAATGACATACGCGGCAGAAAAAAGACCTGACACAGTGAGGACAAAAAGGATGTTGGAAACACCAGAGATGCAAACGCTTAGAAAAATTGATGGTAAGACACTATGAGACAGAGCTAAAAGTACAGATATACGACATAGATGCAAGGTGGAGAACATAAAAAACTGGGTAAGAAATAGAAAAATAGAATGGAACGATCATACAAGCCGAATGACAACAAAAAGAGTAGTAAAAACGGTAAGAGACAGTTTCCAATAGGAAGACGATTAGTAGGAAGACTACGAAAATGATGGAATGACAACTTACTGAAGGTACATTGAAAAACAGACATTGAAAAACAGACATTGAAGAAGTCATGTCTATATAAAAAAGAAGAAGAAGAAGAAGAAGCCAAATATTTTGACGTAGTACTTTGGGGATTTTCTTTGAAAATTGTCTTCTTTCAAATCTTGGTCCATGGCGTTTTGTTAACTTACCGATAAAAAACTTGTTACGTTAACAACAAGGTGAGGTCAAAATTAAGAAATGCATTGTTAACACGATGTGAACTTTCATAAAAACACTCATCACCAGTTACGAAATACTGAAGGTAGATGGGTGAACAACATACAGGTTCATCAGGATGGCGCTTATGTCAAAAAAATTTGTGCGGTCGAGTCACCAGCGACTACACCTTGTGGTTCTAGGGTTAACAATACTTTTAAAAGATATAAAAAATTTATTAAAAATCCTTTGTAAAAGGTATATATTAAGAACCCAAACGGGCTAAGTTAAACAGACAAAACGTTTTCGGAATCCATATTCCATCATCAGTGTACTAGAAAATATTTAACCACTTAATAAAAAAGAACATAGGTTTAAAATTTTGACTAAGGTTAATACAAAGTGTGGTTAATACTTACTAAGAGTACATGAATGTAGCCACAAAATATATGGGCAAAAACCCGCTAACAAATAATTGATTACATTTGGTTTACAAAATTTCTTATAATGACTTAAGATGTTAAAGTTACCATTGGATTAGGTAACATGGCGACATATGACTCCACATTGAAGTTGCTAGTCTTCAGACGGTGTGTCGAAGACTGTATGGGAGCAACTGAATGGCAATGACATTAATGACAATGTTGTTAAATTATGACGGAAGTTGTAACAGAGCAGTCGATATAACTGTATGTATCTACTTAAAACAAAAGCCAACGTTGTTGTTTTAAATTTATGTATATGAGATAAGATGTGAAAAGAAAAAATATATGTGGTTGTAGGTAGGCAACCAACTCTACATGTATGCAGTAAAGTAGTGAAAAAAGTTTAAGTATAAGGCCCTTTATGTTTCTCAAACATTTGTTACCCAGAAGTATTTATTTAAAATTGAAAGTTTTAACAATAAAATTTCCAGAACTCAACCTCCCACATGTGTCTAGTTTCTATTTTCTGGGTATCAAATGTTTGAGAAACATAAAGGGCCTTATACTTAAACTTTTTTCACTACTTTACTGCACACATGTATAGTTGGTTGCCTACCTACAACCACATATATTTTTTCTTTTCACATCTCATCTCATATACATAAATTTAAAACAACAACATTGATGGTTGATACTGTTATATTAATTTATTTTATTTTCACAATTTTAAATAACGTTGGCTTTTGTCTTAAGTAGAAACATACAGTTATATTGACTGCTCTGTTATAACTTCCGTCATAACTTAACAACATTGTCATTAATGTTATTGCCATTCAGTTGCTCCCATACAGTCTTCGTAGACACACCGTCTCAAGACTAGCAACTTCAACGTGGAGTCATATGTCGCCATGTTACCTAATCCAACGGTAACTTTAACATCTTAAGTCATTATAAGAAATTTTGTAAACCAAATGTAATCAATTATTTGTTAACGGGTTTTTACCCATATATTTAGTGGCTACATTCATGTACTCTTAGTAAGTATTAACCACACTTTGTATTAACCTTAGTCAAAATTTTAAACCTATGTTCTTTTTAATTAAGTGGTTAAATATTTTCTAGGACACTGATGATGGAATATGGATTTCGAAAACGTTTTGTCTGTTTAACTTAGCCCGTTTGGGTTCTTAATATATACCTTTTACAAAGGATTTTTAATAAATTTTTTAATATATGGTATACAGCCAACTACAGGAACGTAGATTCCTTGTGGATTTTAAAAGATATGTTTTAGTTACAAATATGTGTGTCCATTATGGGACTGTTTTTGTTTATACCCCTTCTGTCGGTGATGACCAACTGTAGATAAAAGGATCATCGTTATTATCACTTGTATTTTACCACGGTCGTCACATTTTTATATACTACCTTTCGCCAATTTTAATGTATTAATGCAATTATTACAGACATCTGAACTTATTGGGGTACTAAAATTTTCATTCAAACGAGTTATATTCACAGTTTTTCTGTAAAAGATAAATATGCAACATCCCTAGAATTATTTTTATATATTTCTAGTATTGTAACTAATAGACACGATCCTGCTTTATGACTGGATTGTAAGTCCGTATATAACAGTAGGTATGTACAAGACATTATAGATGATGTAGATATTTTATTTCTCCATAAAGCTTGCTGCAATCTTAAAATTAAATTAAAAAAAAATAAATTGAAAAATTGGTTGATATAGAAGTATTGGCAAAATAAACCTCCCATTGTAATTATTAATATTAAATGTAGGTAAAGAATTTTGTGTACGTACTACCTATACCTACTTAATTGTTGCTTTATATTTTCTATTTTATGTTATTATTTTTCTATTAGTTCTTTTTTACTTGCGGTTTAATTTGATGCAAAAAATAGAACACTACAATAAAACTAAAAAATAAGACTGATTATATTCGAGAATTATATAGGCCTACATTGAAATTCCGATTTTTAACTTATAAAATAAAAAATTAAATAAAAAAATAGCATACTATTGAATTTACCTTGAGCAATAAGTTCCTCGCTATTATTTGGCTGCAGCAAAGCATCTTCCTTAATGTTTTCGAATTCTTGACAAATACTTTCATTTTCCGATATATGAATTCGACACAGCTTATAAAATATGTCTTCTATTATAACTGATAAAGACTCTTTCATTGACAATACATATTCTGACAACACTAGTTGACCTATAGCAAAATACTCGCTTCCCAATAAAGAACTTGCTTTTGAGATGTAATTTTTAAAATGTTTAATTTGTAAACATCCGTTTTCAAATGTTTTTTCTTTATCATCAGTTACTGCAAAATCAATGAACATTTCACGAAAATCATAATCAATCTTACGCATATATTCATCAATAGGAACGAACAGTTTCATTATATTTACGGCAACTTGACTAAGAACAGACTCATAATAATCATCGGTTATGTTCAGGTGGATGAGAGCTTCTGGATGAGATCTTATTTTTATTATCTCCAAAATAGGAAAGTTAGTTCCTAGATCTACTAGCTTAGAAATAAATAAACTATATAATAAGATCACGTCTTGCTGATTAGGATGCATATACAGGCTTGAATCATATTTTAAAGACAGCTGTAAATATGGAACAAGATCTTCTTTTCCAGTTACTTCAACTACGTGATTAATAGTATTTTGGATAGAAAGACTTATAAAAACTGATAAAAGACCAGTACATACTTTAAGAAGATTTCTTAAAGCATCTTGATCTAAATTATAATCGGAATACTCTACTATCTCACAAACTTTATAATAAAACTTAAATAAGATACTTTCAGAATCTGAGGTCAAATTATTGAAAGTGTCATCTAACTCCTGTAGCGCAAGTGGTTTTATCCTTAGATCTTTCAGATCGAACAAAATTTCAGGCAACATCTTGCATTCTTTATAAATTTTTCGGACCAGTGGATGATGCAGCAAAAATTTAGTTTGAAATTGTTTTCGAATCCACAGATACACATTGTAATTTGAGCTTCTTCCTAAATATTTGTAGGGTTGGATGACAAATCGTTTCTCATCTGAATTTACTGGCTTTGCTTTTAAACAAACCTAAATAAAATAAAAAAAAACATCAATTTTGTAATTCGTACATTGTAGTTAAAGTTATTTTCTAAAGAATGATTGTTACTGAATATACCTACTATAATAAAAAAATTGCGAAATTCATTGAGAATCTAAATATTTTTTATGTAAAAAAAAGTGGGGAAATAAATTATAGGATATTTCCGCTTTTCAATACAACTTACATTTTCTGGCTGGAATGAAAGTTCTCGTTTTCCCATTTTATTGTAATCAATATCTTCTTCTTATTATTATGTTTCTTCTTATTTCGTTATACAAGCAGTTTTGCTTGTTCATTGTCCAGTTGTTGCCTCTACGGACGATTGTCACTTCATCTCTTGCGCGGTCAACCGATACTTTTTCTAGCGCTTGGTGATCTGTCCCTTACTATTTTAACGACTCTTATGCCCGCCATTCTACTGATTTAATTATTTATTCTTTTTTTTAAGATCCACTCGTATGCCTGTACATTATATCTTGTTTGAATCTCATCATCCTTATTCAGTCTCTTAGTATTCTGAGTATTATCATTTCTGTTGTTTCTAGCACTCTTGCTGTTTTGGCTATGTCGGGTCTTATTTCTGATGCATACGGCATTATTGGACTTATACTGGCCTTATAAATTCTTGATTTTATCTCAAAGTTAATGCGTAAGTGTCGGTAGTGTACAATTTTGTAATAACTAATACATTTTTTAAACACAAAAATATCCACAAGTACACAAGAGAATTTAAAATTAGAGAAGAGATAATTCATTACATGTTAGTAGAACAAAAATAACAGGAGAAACGTGACAGACACAAAAGCTGGAAGGGGACCAGAACTATTTTTACTAAAATTTTAACTAAACATTTTTAACACTATTAAGTAGTAATGAAAATAAAATATTTTATAAAAATAAAATAATCAGATAATAATAACATTAACAAACTGCAAGAAAAGAAACAAGAATATAACCTATTAGGTCATATTACTACTTACGAAATAAAGAAATTGCTAAGAAGTACTAGATGAGTATAAATCAAAAGCTATGAAATACAAGAAAGAGGGTAAAAACGTACAGCAACTATGGAAATACTTCAAAGAGGTTATAATAAATACAACGATAAAAGTCTGTGGAACAGGTAAGAAGAGCAATACAAGAAAGCAAACTGCACGGTAGATAAAGAAATAAAACAAGAGATTAAAAGAAACAAAATTGCGTGGAAAAAAATATTTACACAATAAAACGCCAGAAAGCTATGAAGAATATAAAAAATATAGAATATTAGTAAAACAATATCACAAAAGAAAAAAAGAACAAATGGACAGAATCTGGGGAATCAGAAACTGTTTTATGAAATTTTAAAATCAATGAAATTTAATTAATGAAATTAAAAAAAAAAAGAAAAAATGCAAGACATAAAAAGATAAAGAATATAAATGGCGAACTTCTAACAAAAGAAAATAAAAACATGAACAGATGGAGAGAATAGTTGAAAGAGATGCTACAAACACACTACTATCAAGAAGAAAATAACCTGTTAAACCAAAAAATAGAAGATGATAATGTGGATATAATAAAAATAAATGAGTTGCAAGAAGCTACTGCAGAAATGAAAAACGGAATGACATCAGAGATAACAGAATAACAATGGAAATGATGAAAAAAATTGAACAAAATTCAACAGTTATTATTAAAGATACAGTGCGTTAAGTTTTTGATTAGGTATTGCACACTATACGGAGCGCTAAAATCGGCAACGTTGCAAATGTTCGTTCTCCGACCCAAGACCAGGACCAGAGAACTACGAACGCAGAGAAGCGACACTCCTTTGATCTTGCGTGGGCAAGCCGCCAACGAGTGAAAATGACAGGAAAGCACCTTATTTTTTAATAGTCAGTGGGCATATTACACAATATAAATTCTTAAATAAAATTGAGCATTTATGTTGACTTTCAATAAATATGAAATATTGCACTGAAAAAATAATTACATGCAGGGCCGGCTTTTGTTGACATTCTAAATGGTGTAATTATTTTTGATTTACAAAAGGTTGCAAATACATCGCACAACGCAAAGTAATGGTGAAAATCGTATTGATGGAACCATAGATGAAAATACTTTTTTGTTTATTCTGATGTTGGCATTGATAATACAATAATACACCGATTCTTTTTGGCTTGTGTTGATACAAGATATAATTTGTTCGTCGTGGAATTTCCTAATAAATTATCTTTCGTAATATAATCGAAAAATAACAAAGCCATTGTAACTGCCACGGAAATTTCACAAACTCTAAAAATTCCAATTCTCTTTGGGTGAGACTGAGAAACAAGAAACTTTATATTGATATCGATTGTTAATGTCTTGGAAACCAATTAAAATTACATTTTTCCTTTAAAGTCGAATATTGGAGTAAACGATATTCGACTAAAACGAATAAAAAATCAAGAAGTAACTATTGTACGAGTATATTTCTATAAATATAAAAATGTAATAACCTAAAAAATAATCAAAAAAGTATTACGAATCATTACAAGAGAGCATTAGGAAGATAAAACGAATTTATATTATTGTCATTACACATGATTCGGATATACATAGTAAATCCAGACTTTCAGTTTAAACTAATATTTCGATACAATTTATTTTGTTTACAATAGATTCAGAGTTAATACATACGATTTTTAGTTGATTGGTATTGCCTTTAAAATTATTTGTAGTATCTAGTTTGCCTAAGCCGGATTTGTAACAATTATTTCTGGTTTTGTTGTTAACTGCGGTTAGTACAATTCTTATACTTGAAGTCAAAACGACGAACCATTGAACCTTCAGGCCAGATACTGGGATTGAGAACTTCATTTTTATAATCCAATGGATATGAAACTTTAAAGCTTGCTTGGTACTCCGTAACCTTTAACTTCTTGAAGTAGAAATGTATATTTGGAGCATTTACCTTTAAATTATTGGTCAAATCTTCCGTTGTCTGTTGTGGAATTATATTATGGTGTAAATAAATAATGATTGATTGGAGTAAGATTTATGTCTGTTTACTCTTAATATTGGCTATGGCATATGTGCTTGGTTGTAAATATAGTAATTGTCATCCAGTTCTAGTCTGTTAAAATGTAACTAACTTTCGCAATAAAATAATTACTAAAATACTAGATAGTTGTGTCTGAGATTAGCGAATCGACTATACATACACTACATACATTCAGTATCATTGTATATCCAAGATGGACGCCGCTACACAATAGCGGATTACTTATTTTTTCACAACTACTTCAATATGGGTATCAAATGAAAGGGTTTGACTAGTAGAAAAGAGTAAATATTGAGATATACAATAAATAGTTTTAATATTTTTTATTTGTAATTCCCATTTAAATATTTATTCCCTAAATATGTTGTGTACTCCGATCCATATATTTGATCTTTGTTATTTATATTTAACGAATTAAACATTGACAGACAACTTTTGTATATAGCAAAAAGTAGATGAGCATTTAGTTTTTTCATAATTTAATGTAAGTTTGTTTGGTGAAAAAGACAGCAAATATTTGAAGTTATGTTAATGTAAGTTTGTTTCTTTGCAATCATGTTTTTATTTTGAAGTCTTGTTCTGTTGTAATTTTAAGATGTTCCCAATTTTCGATCTAATTATGTTTCCAACAATTTTTAGTTTGAGCATTTTAGGAATTTCTTTGTTTCGTTTAAATCAAAAATATTCTCGTGTATAAAACCCTCTATATAGTTTTATTTCCTAAAAATACTATATTCGTATTGTTGTCTGCGAGCGCTTTCACACCAGTAGGCCAACATCTGTGTTGATTTTTTGACCTGAGCCTTCGGAGACAATAAATTTAATGTGTGTTCGTAGTTCTCTGGTTTTTATTCTGAACTATCCCTTGGCAAACCAAAATTTATTTTTTTATTGCTTCACTTAACGAGAGCTCGGGCGGACACGTCGGTGTTGGCTTACTCAAAGTCAAATTAATACTATTATGTAATAACTAATAATAATTACAAAGCAATAGTAATTACCTGTTATTATTTTTAGGAAATCTAAATAAACTTATTCCTTTTCCTGTCACAGATGAACATCCGCGAAACGCACAACAATAACCAGAAGACATTTTAAATACTTATAAATTAAACTTTTAACTATAAACTATAACTATAAAGTTATATATTTAACTTATATATTTTAACTATAACTATAAACTATAACTATAAACTTTTAACTACTAAGTAAATTAGATAAATGGTCAAATGTACTTGTATATTCGAGGTTTACCACAGATGCCTATGGACTATTGTAAGCGACTAAAGTTGAAGAAAACGCACGTGTTTTTGACAGTAAGCACCTTATTTGGGTCATGCGTATACAGAAAAGAGACACGAATTCCGGGCCTCGTGTCGCTTCTCTGTGTTCGTAGTTCTCTGCCAAGACTATCTCAGCTCAGTATCTACACCGACAGAAAATTATTTATTTTAGTTTAGTAACTCACAACAACGTTTGGGATGTACTTCTCTGTCGTCCGATCTCATGTTTCATTACGTATAGCCGATTTTAATAGTAGGAAATTCGATAAAAATGCACTGACCTAATCGGTGCATTGTTATCGATTTTTATTATTGTGAAAATTTTTTTGTGGTTGAATTAAAAATAAAAGCGTATTTCCTTAAAAAGATAAAATAAAAAATATACTCTTATTGAAAATTAAAATATTATTCCTAATAAAATAAAAAATAATTCTTTATGACCTACAGAAATGGTTCAAATAGTTGACCTTCTACGGCTGAACAGTACCCCAATCTGTCATAAAAACTTCTGCGAACAGATGAAAGAGTTTCTGCTGTAACAGAATTGGAGACTTCTCTTATTCGATTTTTTAATTCATCCAAATTTTACGCTCTAGCTTCAGGATGATCGTAGATAATGCTTTTTAAATGTCCCCAAAAAAAGAAGTCCATGGGTGTAAGATCTGGAGATCGCGCAGGCCACTTAATATCGCCTGTTCCACTAATAACTCGATTCGGGAAAGTATTGTTTAAATACTCCCTAATAATTCGAGCGTTGTGAACTGAACAGCCGTCTTGATGAAACCAAACATTCTCCAGATTTACATCAGGAAGATTGAGAATAGCGGGAAGAACATGATTCTGTAACAAATCGAGGTATACTCTACTATTCAAGTTGCCCTCAATAAAAAATGGACCTATTATGTGGTCTCCTAAAATGCCAGTCCAGACGTTAACTTTTTGAGGACGTTGAGTTCGGTAAACAACACTTCTGTGCTGGTTTTCCCGCGCCCAATACCTCGTAATGGAAGGATTATTAATACTAACGAAACAGAAGATTCATCAGTGAATAAAATGTTTTTAATAAAATTTGGTTCACTATTAGCCTTCGTTATTAGAGTTTCACAAAACTCCATTCTTCGAAAGTAATCGTCTGGATAAAGCTGCTGCGTTTTCGAACATTTAAAATTCTTGTAACCGTGCTTTTTCCATACTTTCGTTACAGTAACATTGCTAACATCTAACTCTCTAGCAACGCTTCTACTTGAACGTCTTGAATCTACCTCGATTGTTGCACAAATTTGTGTATCCCGGTATTCTCTTTCCTCAACTTTTTCTGGTAACACTTCTTGAGCGTGACATTTTCTGCAATTTTTGAGGCAATAACAACTCTTAAAATTTTTAACAATATTATAAATTGACTGTACACAAGGAATTGGTCTTCCCTCAAAAAACACAGAAAATAAATCTACACACTGTTGCGCAGAATTGCCACTATAAAACCATTTTATTATTTGAGCTTTTTCCGCGGCCATATAAACAGACATGTTTACAAAAATAAATTAAAACTCTACGCTGTTATACCTTTAAACAACCACGGTATAATGACAATATTACAAATTTGCCGACGGGCGACGAGCAACGACGAGTCAACGAAGCAGATATATAGTGGCAAGTCGACGTCGCGCAGTGTTGCCATTTATAGAGTGTATACCTAATCCAAAACTTAACGCACTGTATCTAATGCCATATGGAGAGAAAAGCAGATATTAATTGACTGGCAGAAGGCTCAGATAGTACCGATTTATAAAAATGGTGATTACAACGGAGAACAACAACTACGGAGGAATAACACTATTAAGTACTGCCATGAAAATATACGAAAAAATATTGAACAAAAGAATAACCGAACAAACTGACAGCACACTTAAGGAATCACAATGCTGATTCAGAAAAGACAGAAGCACACATCATCATATACCATGAAACAAATAATACAAAAATATCAGTAACAAGTTGTCCATCTAAACTGTCTTTCATCTGCTTGTTTTCATAGACGTTTTCAATTGTTTTTGTAATATCCAGCAGAATCTTTTTATTATACAAGAGATGTATTACATCTTTAAAACGTTAAGCCACATGAGATATATTGCGCGTTTCGCAGATAATCTTATTCTTTGAGCGCCGTGGTATACATATTATGTCTCATTGCAAGCAGTTTTATTTTGAATCGTAACACACCGTGTGTAGCACGTTTATACATTTTGATAATGGAAATCGAAAGGAGGTGGACTGGGCAACCACACGTTAATATTGGTCCATTAGTTTAGCTTCCTTTTTGCTTTAATATTATAATAATCCCGTAAAATAAGAAAAAAAGAGTTTCCAATGATGTTACAATTTTATTGCCTAAAATATTAGATATACAGCGCAGATTTAAAATGGTTATAAAGTGCTTTTAAATTGTTATAAAAACAAGTAGGTACATATTGTAGTTATACGTTGATATAAGACCAACTTAAGAACTAAAAAAATCTCTGGAAGATGGTCAAACTAACAAAAACATAAAAGAACAAACTAAACCTTAGGCATCCATAATTTTAATCAAAACTTTTTATTATATTTTTTGCTAACATTATCTTCTTCTTCTTAAAGTGCCTATCCGTTCCGGATGTTGGCGATCATCATGGCTATCTTTACTTTGTTTACTGCAGCGCGGAACAGTTCAGTGGTAGTCGTGTTATATCACTTTCGTAAATTAAGCCAGGAAATGCGTCTTCTTCCCGGTCCTCTCTTACCATTTACCTTCCCTTGGAGAATCAGCTGGAGAAGGCCGTAACGTTCTTGATTTCTCATTACATGTCCTAGATATTCCAACTTTTTAGTTTTGATGGTCATGAGAATTTCACATTCTTTCCCCATTCTAGGACCTCCACATTAGTAACTCTGTCAACCCAGGATATACGTAAGATGCGCCTATAACACCACATTTTGAAAGCTTCGAGCCGATTCATAGATGCAACAGTCAGTATCCACGCTTCCATTCCGTAGAGCAGAACTGTGAATATGTAGCAGTTCAATAGACGGCATTTTGTTTTTAATGATATGTCTCGACTGTTGAAAATGGTTCTCATTCTAACGAATGCTGCTTTTGCTTTTATTATTCGCTGTTTAATTTCTGTTGAGTGGTCCCATTGGCTATTTAAATTGGTATCTAGATATGTATATTGCTCGACTCTTTCGGTATTCTGTTGGTTGATTGTAAGTTGAGCGTTTAGTATTGGTTTTTTACTAATTGTCATAAATTTGGTTTTCTTTATGTTAAGAGCTAGTCCGTATCTGTTGCTGACTTCTGTTATGCGATTTGTTAATATCTGTAAGTCATTCAGATTATCGGCAAAAACTATAGTGTCATCTGCATATCTAATGTTATTCAACCATTCACCGTTTATTAGTATTTCTTTCGCACAACCGTCTAAAGCTTCCTTAAATACCCATTCAGAATAAATATTAAACAACAATGGAGACAAAATACAGCCCTGTCGTACTCCACGTTCTATTGCAATTTTATCAGTTAACTAGTCTTCTATTTTGATTTTGGCCGTCTGTGTTGGTGACATGTTCGGTCCAGGATATAAAGAATTAGGAAAATTTAAGCTTTTGTGTTCTGGTTGTATCGTAGAATAGCGTAGAATAAGCCCTAATAATATTATTCAACATTATTTACGACCCTCCCCCCCCGAGAGGGTGTATACTTGCTACCTACCTGTCGGCGAGAATCCAGAAGCTATCGACAAGGACAGCCTGTGCTGACCGAGAGAGAGAGAGAGCTACATTTATCAGAACTTTATACTACTATGAGATTTTTTAAAAAGGTAATACCAAATAGCTGCTTTGTGTTACACTTTAAGATAAAAATAAAAACAGATTCGGAAAGTGCGTCAAATTCTGTAGGGCCCTATTTAAATAAAAATTTTACGTTTATTTTAACCAAAAATATTTAAAAAAAAAACACTGTTTAAACAATTTATTAATTTACAACCAAATATTGCACTAGAACTTTTTAAGACCTTTTATATAAAAAAATAATCATCTCAATATCTGCCATAGTTTTTGCGTTATTTGATAAAAACTTATGCCCAGAATCGCGAGGAACGGCCTTAAGAATTTTATGGATAAAGGGAGTCACTATTACCGAGGTGTTGAGGTGCATAAAAAAAGAGAAGAATATGTAATAACTATTAAAACGAGAACAAAAGTAGAAGATGCTGTCGAACAGGCAGCTTAAACTGAAATGGAAATGGGCTGGACATAACGAACGTCTTAAGGATGGCCGATGGAATAAAGAAAACGAAAATTGACGGCCATATGAAGCCAAAGGACCACGAGGAAGACCGCAAATGCGATGGAGCGACGATATTAAAAGAACTGCAGGACCAATGTGGAAACGTCTCACAAAAAACATAGATAAATGGCGAGAATTAAGAGAGGCCTATATTCGGCAATCCGAATAGAGAAAAGGGCTTAAAAAATTAAAAACAGAAAACTTCATTACATTGGACACATTATGAGAGGTTACATATATAAATTGCTTCGAATAATGCAGGTACCAATCAGCGAAAGAAAACACTCCTGGCTGAAAAATCTGCGTGAATGGTTGAACACTACTAATAACCATTTATTTAGAACCTCGATTTTATAAGTAAGAATAGCTTTGATAATTGCCAATCTCTGGAAATAAAGTGAGACTGGGTTACACGTTATTAAAAAATTGTATATTTTAGCATTAGATTTTTTCAGTGTTAACTATCTAAAGCAGAAAATATAGGTGTAGTTGAGATTTATTCTACTGTTAAAAGAAAATCGTGACCTAATTTATACTTAAAATCAATATATTGTGTAGTAAGTACTAATAATCAACTTGAAATTATATTAAAATATTTTGTTATAGTTTAAATTCTTACGTAACACCTCCAATTATTAGGCAGGCAAATTTATATATATATATATATATATATATATATATATATATATATTATATATATATTATATATATATATATATATATTGTATTATAACTTACTCCAGCAGAGTGTGTGATTCTAATAAATTCTTCCTTAGCTTCTGCCAATATTCTGGGCACTATCAATTGGTACTTTTTCTCCAAACCTTTGGCCGCAACCCTGGACGTAATACAACGTTCTTGGAACACAGACATTTTGGCTGTAGGACAAAGTTCTGCTTGAGCGCGAATTTTTTTATGTGAATCGTTCATTCGAGGTATTTCAGCATATATCGGAGTGAGGCGATGCTTGTATTCTTTCAGCTTGGTCTTTCGTATAAATTCTGCCTAAAGTATACAATAAAATTAGTAATCTAATTAAATTGTAAAGATAGAAAAAAGAAATGATCAAAACAATTCAATAAAATATGAGAATATTGGACAAACCACGCAAAAGTAATCATAAGAAACATATAAATGTTTAAATCATACAAAATATCCCAAAACGTTTTAGATAATAAGATTTCCTTATAAACTGATCGTACTTCAGCCAATTGCATTATTGTGTATGTTTCAGATTTTCACGATATTCATTCCAGAATTCTAAACCATATACTAGTTTTTAAAATTCGAGAAAATGAGAAAATGCGAAGAACTTAACAAATATATAGGTTCAACAAGATCAAGAGAAGTTTGGAAAACGGTAAAAAATCTGAGAACAAACAGAAAAGAAACGAGTAGAATAGATTTAATAGAATAAAGATCTTGGATCGAACACTACTCACAACTTTTGACTGAAACAAGACCTCAATTCACGAACATCATTACAATAACATATGAACTGGAATTCAGTGTGAAGACGATGAAATAACAGTAAAGGAAGTCTAGAATGCAATACGAACTCTAAAAAATCGGAAGTTATGCAGACCACAAGGTATACCAAATTAATTACTAAAACATAGCCCACATGTATTACGGGAATTACTGGCGTATGTCTTCACCTTATTCTATAATGGACACGACTTACCACCGGAGTGGACCAAAGCACATATTAACAACATCTACAAAAAAGGAGATAGAAAGAATTGTTCAAACTACAGGGGGTTAAGTGTCATAAATTCACTCTCAAGACTGTATGGAAAAATAATAAAAAATAAAATCGAAAAAGAGATGACAGTTGTAGAAGAACAAAATGGCTTTCGTGCAGGCAGATCCTGTATGGACAGTATATTCTCTCTAAAGCAAGTTATCGAGAAAAGATTAGCCCACAACTTTTCAACTCATATAGTCTTTATAGATCTGACAAAGGCATACGATAGTGTACCACTGTCAATGCTTTGGGTAGCAATGGAAAAACAAGGAATAAACAAAAAAAATATACAAGCAGTACAACAGCTCTACAAAAATATAACGGCAAACATTAAAACTGGAAATAGATTAACTAGAAATTTCTATTAGTAAGGGCCTAAAGCAAGGCTGCTGCATAGCACCTACACTCTTCAAAATATATCTAAATGAGGCACTCACACTCTGGAGAAGAAAGTGCTATAATATGGGCATCCCAATCGGAGATGATAGATTGTACACGATACACTTCGCTGACGACCAAGCCATTCTAGCTGAAGACGAGAGTGATGTAGGATACATGATTAGAAAACTGGAAGATGAGTACACCAAATAGGGCCTTACAATTAATATACAAAAAACTGAGTACTTAGTTGTAGGAGAGAAACCAGAAAGCCTACAAATCGCAATGGGAACTATAAAACCAACAGACAATTTTAAATACTTGGGAGTCCAAATAACATCAAAAGCAGGAAGTAGCGAAAAAATACATTCCAGGATTTGCTAAGCAAGGTCAGCCACCAGACAGCTACACGGACTGTTATGGAACAAAAAAGTAACAAAAGAAAATAAAAGAAGAATTTATAAAACAATAATAGAAAGTATTGGACTGTACGGCACCGAACTCTGGGAAATAAACCAAAGAAACAAATCAAAAATTAGGGCCATGGAAATGAACTACTGGAGAGGATGTTACCAGCTCACTAGACTTGATAGGGTGAGAAACGAAGATATTCGGAGAGAAATAGAAATCGATCTAGACATAATAGACACAATCGAAGTCAAAAGACTTAACTAGTCTGGACACCTTCAGAGAATGCCGGAAAATAGATGGCAAAAAAAATAGGAGAATGGACTCCGCCAACTAGAAGAAAACGAGGTAGACCAAGACGATCCTGGAGAGACGATGTCGACGATGCAATGACCGCCAGAGATTTAACAACTGAAGATTGCTTCGACAGAAAACGCTGGAAATTAGGATGCAAAAAGCGGCGCCAGCTGTAGAAGACTCGTTTGTTATATATATATATATATATATATATATATATATATATATATATATATATATATATATATATATATATATATATATATATATATAAATATAACACTGTTTTTGAGGGTTGAGTCAATAAAGGGGCTATTGTTGACTATTTTTACTCGAGCTTTCAATTGTGATTACAATTTTATCAAGAGCTTCTAAAAAATACAAAATGTCTTACAAAGTTGAACTAGAAATAAAAAATTTTTTGTTAACTCACCAAATAAATTAGTTTTTTATATAAAACTACTGCTTACATAATAAATACAAAAAATATTAATAAAAAAATGTCTTATTCTAATAAATGTTTTCTTATTTTAGAATAAGACATTGTTCAACTTTGTAAGACATTTTGTATTTTTTAGAAGCTCTTGATAAAAATTGTAATCACAATTGAAAGCTCGAGTAAAAAATAGTCAACAAATAGCCCTTTTATTGACTCCAACCATCAAAAACAGTGTTATATTTTTTCCAAACGAGTCACAAGTACTTCTTTTTTCTTACTCTTATATATATATATATATATATATATATATATATACTTAATAGTTATATATATATATATATATATATATATATACAGAAAATGAGTACTGAAATACTTAATAGTTAGTTGTGATTAGTGATAAATAAAAACAATTGTTTGCCTCCTACTATATACACTACTTTCAGGATCGTTATATAAAATTTGCGAATTGTGTTAGAATTGGATGCACTTTTGCGTTTGCTGACCATTACGTGTAAGGGTCAGACGTTTAGTTTAGACGAATAGTTTTCAAAAAAAAAATTTCATTTGCGACTGAACTTTTCGCTTTATCCGCATCAGTTTATATGTTATTTGTATTAACTATCTCGAAAGATATTAAAACTGTCGTGAATTTCCATTAAATTATTTTTATCTGTTTTATTGGTGTTTATTTTCTTACAAAGTTAAGAAAACCAATCATTGGTACTGCTTAACTCATCACTAATTTTCAGAGCTTCAAAAGTAATTTTCTGTCTTAATCTTTCCTTTGACTAAGTCCAGAAAAAGAGTTTTAAGCGTGGGTCAAGAAAAGTGCAAACAGGTATTTGTTGTTTTGATCTTGTAGTTGAGATTACATTCTTAATGAATTTGGTACCTATTCTATTCACAGTCTATTCCTTTTCCAAGTATTTTAATGATTTTTTACGAGACCTGTTTTATTTCTTTTTGTATAATAAAAATTGTTTAAAAAAAAAACTTTTCGTCTGGGCTAGCTCTTGAAGCTTATTTTGGTGTACATACCTCATGAAAGTAAATATGCAAAAATATCTCATACGTATACTTTTCTAAACGTACGCGAGCTTTTTGCCTTGTCTAGTAAAGAAAAATCAAAAAATAGACCAGTTATTAAGAAAATTGCAAGGCCTAAAGTTAAGCTTTTGCGGTACACTCTCTGCATACATTTTTTGCACATTCCAAACACATTGGTCTCTGGCAGTGAAAGTAAAATAAGGCGGTCCTCCTTTTTTTTCTTATCTTTTTCTAACTTTTCAACTCCAGCTTTCAAGGGTTTTACGCCGTTCTCAACGATAAAGATTTCACATATGCTTAATGTGAGTTTCATCGGTAGATGTTAATTTTCCAATCTTTTTTAATATTGGGCTCTAATTTTTTAATAAATTTTGAGTATTCTAGGTACTTAATATCTTTGGAATATTCGCAAAATGTTTAAATATTCACTGTACTAGTGTCAAATAGTCTAAAAATACTGCTATAGCCCAGCATCGATTTCGTCGACACAAAAAGTGGTTGTGCAAGTCTCATTACGGCTTGCATTGGTTTACTGAATCTCGTTTCATCATCTGGTAGTTCATTTTCATCCGAATTTTTGTTAATATAGATATGTGCATTTAAAAGATGTGCATTTTAAAACAACAACGACATCTAAATGCCACAAGCATTTTATCAATGCATGCTGATTTGCCTATGGTGTAACAAGTTTGGCAATAGTTGATAAATATATCTAATATTTCTGGTACTGGAGCGCCTGAGTTGATTGCTTTACTTATAGGTTTTCTGATTGTCAAACCTTTATGTTAACAGGAAAGCACATATTTCTTTCTTTCAAATTATGAATGCGTCAACAGGATCTCCAATATTTTTTACTGCGTTACGCAAATCAGGTAACTGTATAATTTATTTTCTTGTAGTCGTCGCCGTCGATTAGAAGTTCCAGGTTGTTTGGACCAATTAAATCTATTTTTCCCGTAAAAATAATTTGCCACTGACGGACTTTTTTCGTTTTTATTTTCTACACTTTCTTCATCCTCATTTTGCTCTCGGACCCATTAACATCAATATTATCATTAGATGTAAGAAATCAAATCTAAATACAATTTAGATTTATAATATTTATTACCTTAGCGCAGAGTCGTGAACACTCTCGATAGCAAAATATTAATCACAGTCTGATTGCATATTACTTTTATCGCTGTCAGCCTCTTCATATCACATTAGAACATCTTTAAAAATCTTGTCGCCATATTTTAAATGCTTTGAAGAATGATGTTCCTCATCTATTGTGTACAAATAAATACAAAACTAACGTTTACACTATGACCCTGTCTAGTAGACAGTACTTGCTGCTTAAATTCAAGTATATGGCAAACAACGCTCTTTCGAATACAGCCAGAATAAGGGTTAAAGAAAAAAAAAGTAAAAATAGAAGATCTGAATCTCATCCTGGACTCAACAATCATCATAGGAGACCTTAATGCAAGATCACCGAATTGGTACGACAGGAAAACCAATGGTAACGAAAGACGGCTCTGTGGCTATATCGAAACAAAAAAACAACACATACGCAGTAGGACCTGTGGATCCAACTTGCTACAATGGAGTAGCACAACCAACTCACCTCGATATTGCAATCCTACACAACGTGGGTCAACAATATGAAATCCATTCACTAAACGAAGGCGATTCAACACATAATTTAATCGTCCTGACCCTGGGAGCTATAGATATTAACCATCTAGAGCCCCGCAAAAAGAAAATAACCAGCTGGCCAAATTACAGAAGAAATGTGAGCGAGAACATCGGTGTGATACCCACTATTAATAACATAATGGAGCTGGAAAATAGTGTGGAAAAACTAGAACAAATCATAACGAATGCCATCGATGCCAGCTCAAAAGAAGAAACAATTATAACAAAACAAGGACGATTTAAAGACATCAGTCCAGAATTAAGAGAATTAATTCGAGAAAAAAAATAGGAAAAGAAGAAGAGCCTATAGAACAAGGACACAAGAAGACAAATGGATTGCAAACGAGCTAAATAGAGAAGTGAAAAGGCAACTGCAAGCTCACAACAGTGAAAGCTGGGAATCCTATATCCAGGAGTTAAATCCAAACAAATCTGGTTTCTGGAAACTATCCAATGTATTAAAAAAAGACAAAAACCCATTCCACCACTATGGTTGGTGGAATTGGAAAAAGCATGCAGGAATAATGAACATCCGAAGACATCGACTTCACCATACACGTCGAAAATACAGTCAGGAGGCTAAAAAGAAAAAAGGGCAGAATTGGAATATTACATACATCTCCCGAAGAAGTAAAGAACCTAATAAAAGCGACAAATGCCAAAAAAGCTCCAGGACCGGATAACATAGGTAACAGAGCACTCAAGAACCTACCAACAAAGGAAGAAGTATATATTACAACCATCATTAATGTTATACTAAAATTAAGATATTTCCCGGAAAGATGGAAGGAAGCTTATGTTATGATGATAGGAAAACCAGGAAAGGATGGCACTTTTCCACAAAACTACAGGGATCTATTCCAGAAGCTCAGTTTGGATTCAGGACCGAACACTCCTGTGAACTACAGGTATTAAGGCTGACGGAACACATTATCAAAGGCTTTAACGAAAAGTTGTACACAGCAACGGCGTTCCTCGACGTGAGTAAAGCTTTTGATAGGGTATGGCATCAAGGTCTGCTCTATAAAATGAGCAACCCAGGCTATAGTGAAGCGATGACATGTCTCCTTGCGTCATACCTAGCTTACAGAAGGTTCAGGTTCGAATAGGTTCAACCTTATCCGAACTCGGGACCCTGGAAGCAGGTGTGCCCCAGGGAGCGGTGTTATCGCCGTATCTATATACACTATCGATACAGCTGACACTCCGACAGACCCCAGAACTGTGATTAGTGTATACGCGGACGATACTGCCATAGCAGCTAGCAGTACAGATCCTAACCTAGCTGCCAGCCACCTGTAAAGCGCTCTGAATAGATTCCAAAGATGGTGCGTAAAGTGGAAAATTGCATTAAATCCTGACAAGACGCAGGCCGTTATGTACAGACACAGAAAAAAGAGACTAGACAGGGAGATTACTATTGGAAACACCCCTGTAGAATGGACGAACGAGGCTAAATACCTCGGATTCATCTTAGACAGAAAATTTACTTTTACAGAACACGTAAAACAAACTGTCTACAAAGCAAAAGCACTAAGAAGTCAACTCTCTTTGCTAATCGGCAGAAGGAGCAAACTTCGTTTCAAGGCAAAATTGAGGGTAGCTAATAGCATAATACTACCCTCTCTAACATATGCATCTGCCACATGGGGACACACATATAAAACAAACAGGAAGAAAATCCAAACAACACAAAATTGGATAATCAGAGAAGCTCTAAATTTACCTCAATACGTCCCACTGAGGTACTTATTTAGGAACGCTGGACAGAAAAGAATACTAAGGACAATAGACGAAAGAGCACACACTATTTTCAATGGTCTCGTAAACCATCCAAGCAGGACATTAAGAGAGTTGACTAACTACGATATAAACACCAGAACGGTACATAAACCGACAAAACAACAACTCATTGGATATAGAGAAGAAGGATAAATGAAGAAAGAGATAGACACAGAGTCATCTACAGAGTATTTTAGACAGTGAGCACCAAAAAAAGTAGAAAATAAGAACAATATACACCGGGGTGTGTGTAGGCACTATACACCCGGGAATGCACACCCCACCACACGCACACTTAGAGTAGATTAGGTTTAGGTTAGAATAGGGAAAACATAAAGCACAAAAAACATATACACGAAGTGTGTGAGAGCATTATACACTTGGTAATGCACACTCCATAGTTAAGGTATTAGCATAGATAGACTTAGTAATAAAAAACAAAAACCTCTCACTGTCTAAACAAAGTCATGTCATCTTCAAGAAAAAACAAAAACACCCGCTGCAACACAAAATATATATAACACTAATTAGAATGTATATAAGGTTTGTCCTGCCAGGCACTCTATACCAGCCAGCAGGCATAGGCCCTTCAGGCAGATCAAGTACTGATCAATCGCAGACTCCAAGCATTGAGGTCATGTGCGACAAACATGGGCTCGGTGGCCGGGACACACTTCTCGAGCGCCCAGTCGGCGAGGGAACAAAATTTTATTTTGTCAAATCGGCGACTGTGTGAACGAGCACACACATCTTTTCCAGACATAGAGTTGTCAGTCTAGGCTGATGGTTCTCTGTTTGGAATACACGTATTTTTTAGGGACACGAGTCCCGATGTTAGAGTAACTTATATAGAGTCAGTAAAATTAATAGGGAGAAAAGCCGACATGTGTGCTACCCCTACATTAAGGTGGCCTAACCACAGTCAATAAAAACAGAAGGTATCTCATTACCCAAGACACCTTACGTAACTTTCAGATCATAAGCCTCCTCACGGAAGTCAAGTCCTTGAGGAGGGGTGGAGGAAAAGCCTGGGGGTCAGATAGGTACCACTTCAACTAATGAGGTGTGACCGGTTTGATCTTCGGACATGTGGAATCCACATTGTGGATCCCACTATTATAGAGGTATACACATGTTCCTAGGGGTAGGGTTGATCGCCTCGTGTGTGTGAAAGTAATAATAAAAAAGAATTATTTATGAGGAATATACATTTTTTGCGTTTAAGCAGTTTTATATTATTATTTCACTAAAGAATAAAATTCATATATTTGTTATCACTTTTACCTGAAAATCAAGAAGCATTTCTTTTTTTTTCTTGTTAATTTTAAATTTATTCATCAATTCTTCACTTAATTGTGTCGCAATTATTTCTTCCAATAATTGAGGTTGTCCTAAATCTCGTTCGCTTAAACGACATTGCCGAATAAGTCGTTTAGCTTCCCTTTCAGCAGTATTTCTATTTTTACTTTGGGACATTTCTTCCCAGAATATATTAATGTAAATTCACAAATTTATTATTTAAGGGAAATAACTTGACGTTGTCATAATTCGTCAGTATCATAGGAACTAAAATGTCTATTTATATTTATGTCCTACATAGGTTCCAATCTTACACAAGGAAAGAGAGGTTCCAATAATATATTTTTTTGTTGTTAACTTACAAATCTGTTAATTCGCCACTTTATTTATTACAATAAATAACTTTACAAAAAACTAAAATTCTGTTTTAAAGATAGGAGTAAAAAATCAATATTTTTTATTAAACTGATTTCTTACCGCTTGCTTAGCGAAAAAGTATTTCTTAATTTCATTTTGACTGCTTTTTTGGTTTCTTGTTATCTTCTTCTTATAATAAAAAAATCGCAGCCTAATTTCATTTAACGTTTTTAATGCAAAACTTTAATGAAAATGAAAAAAAAATTAAGTTATAATTTCATGACTGTTTCGAGATGAAACACAGCTGAATGAGAATTTTTTTAAATTTAGCTTTACGTGTCTCGACAGCGTAGGTCACTGACACAGGTACCATTTGATTACATTACAGTACAAGAATATACAATAACACTACAGTCGATAAAGAAATACATTAAATACAATAAATATTGGTACAATTGTTAACATTAAATTGTAAGTTATGTTTCTTCTTCCAAATTCCTGGTAAAGCCTGGTTTCATAGGGGAAATTAAAAAGGTTTTGGAATTGATCTGGCGAGTTGAGAACATTTTGCGAGTTTCGACTAAATAGATTCTTTTTTCTGTTGTTGAAATAGGAAGAGTATAGAAGAATACGTTTTACAGAGATAGAGAGAGAGTTAGGCTCGTACGGCCGATTCTAAGTCGGCGAATTAAGATTTTGTTTTTTCGTGTCATGTAAGGAAACTCAATCTTTTTAACGGTGGAATGGGTATCACGAAGCTTGGAAGGAATTTTATTTTATTGATCTTGCCAAGACATTAAAATAATATTTTTAAAATACGTCTGTAAATCTGTATGTAGTTTTGCAAAGAGGACGGCTAGTTCGTTACCATGAGACGGAATTCAGATCTTGGTTATGGATACTGCCAGTGAGATTAAACTATCGAAAGAGTTTTAAATAGCTTGAATCAAAGAATGTATCGTGTACATACTTTTGATAGAATAAATAGACGCTTAAAAGTTTGTAAATATCGCTACTTTTGGATATTCTGGTGATCGGAGTAAGTTTGTAGCTTGCAGAATAGAGAATAATTCAGCAGTATGTATGCAGCAGAAGAGCAGGAAATTACAAGATATGATTTAATCTGTATTTGAAGTTTCAGCACATCCAATAGCTATAGGACTCTTCGAAGCATCTGTGTATATAATTTGATCAAATCTGTTATTAGCAATTAATTGTTTAAAGGTTTGCCTTAGAAATTGGAGATTTGTCTGATGCTTATCATAATTAGTTACCGAGAGATTAAAATCTACTATTAATTTATTTCAGGGCTGTTTAGGTGATATTATTATTGAAGTTCTGGCTGAAAGATCGATAATATTCAGAGGTGGTGAGAGATACTGTGGCATAGATTAAAGTTAATTGGAGACGGGAAATTTAAAAGGTCATTACTTAGTAATTTATAGGCTGGGTTTTTGGTATTAGCTGCGATTTGAGAAAAATATTACAAAAGGTGTTGCTGGCTACATACTGGAGGAGAAGTTTATAAGCATATCTGTATAAATTATCTGCGGGGATCGATCTAAAGGATCCAAGGCAAATTCGAAGTGCAGTGTCGTGTACAGAATTCAGAAGTTTAAAACTTTATGGGCAAGCTAACATATAA